CGGGCCATGGCTGCCCGGTGGAACTGGCCTGGGCAGCCTTGGCTTCTCGGTGGCCCCACACACAGTCCTGGGAACGGGCTGGCCCGGCCCCCGCCACCCAGCCTCCATGCCGCCTCTGCTGCCAAGCCCTGTGCCTGACCGGCAGCGCCCCTTCACTGGGCCCCCTGACACATTTGTAGCCTGCACCCCACCCCTCCCCGAGCGTGTTGCACATGTGTGTGTGTGCGGGGTAAGGGCAGTGCTCGGCCCAGCCGGGGCCCCACACTCGGCGTGCTCCCAGGTGATCACTCCTGGGGCGGCAGCCTAGCCCTCCAGTCACATGGACCCAGCAGTGCCGGTGCAGGCCAGGCAGATAGCCGTGCAGAGGACGCTGAGCAACGGAGAGAGCCGAAGGCCTTACTGTGCTTTGCCATGAGTTCAGATCTCGTGAGTGAACTATCCCTGCCCAGACCGTGTCCCGGAGGGGGCTCTAAAAGAAAGCACTGTCTCCTGGTAGTCGGCATCCGGGTCACCTGCCGACGGAAACTCGGAGGAGAACCAGGAGTCAGCACGCGGCTACAGTGGGGGTTCTGGCAGAATTAGGGAGCCAGGGAGCGCCAGGAGCTGCCTCCAGGATGTCTTCCAGGTGGGGCTCTGAGCGTGGCATCCTCTCCTGTCTGGCTCGTGGAAGTTCACCACGGTAGGGACGAATGTACCCGTGCCTACAGAGGGTACTCACATGAGGACGTGGCGTTTCTGGGGTGACACACACTCTCGTGAGAGCCCCACAGGCACGGTGGGTGGTGAGTTCTGGCCGGGAGGTTTGGGTTTTCGGGTAGCCCAGTGTCCAGGACAGTCCTGGCCCCCAGCCGCAGATGGTACGCTTGCCGTCTCTTGCAGTAGAGGGGACAGGGTCCCGGACGAGGGCGTTCCTCAGTGTGGCCAAGCCCGGGCCCCAGCCGGCTGCTCATGCTGTCAGCATCCCGGCACTAGAGGAGACCGCGGTTGTACTTCTCTGGACGCCTCGCCTTAGCCCGCTGCCTGGGAGGGTGGCCCAGAGCCGCTGGCTGATTTAAAAGCAGTTTGACTGGAAACAGCTTTGCTTGCCAAAAGAAAAGAGTGTTTGTCTGTGTTCAGCTTCTCGTGTGTGACCAGGTGAAGGCTGGTCAGTCCTGAGGGCGACCACAACACCCCCACTCCGCACCCTGCTCTCTGCAGCACCCCCTAGGGGCAGGGCAGGGACCGGCTCACTCCAGGCGTGGCCTGACCGAGCTGCTGCTGAGGCTCCGTGGCTATCTGACCGACAGGTGATCACTATTAGAATGAAAGACCACCTGGCTGGCCCATGAGCCCAGGGGGTGTGGGAGCCAGACCCTCATGGCTGGCTGCAGTTCCAGGCCTGGCCCCAGCCGCAAACATGCCAGGTGCATGTGCATGTGCGCCCCGAATCCCAGCGGGCTGGGGAACCAGAGGAGAAGGGGCTGTGACAGGACCACGCCCATTGAGGTGCCTCCCCTTCTGTCTCCCGTGGCTCTGGGAGAGCATGAGCCCGCTGGCAATTTTTAGAAAAAGAAAGGAAGAAATGTCCTCATTTCAGAGTGAGCCGTTGTTTGGCGTGTGGGCCACCTTTGCGGCCCAGCCCGTGGCTAGCCCTCACCAAAAAAACGGTTTTAAAAAGGCCCCTCATGGGGCCAGCAGGTGGCATGGTCGTTAAGGTGCTGGACTCCCACATGGCTGACTGCATGGTTCAAGTCCTACAGCCAATGGCTTGTAAAAATACTTTCACTTCTGCAATTTCTATTCTGTCTCTTCAGCAAAGTTATAATTATGTAAGATGGCAAAGTTTAGTCTGCTCCCAAATATCACCGGCTTTGAGTGGGCAGTCACTCAGCAAGGCTCGAGTTCCCCAAAGGCCGCTGGCCTCTGCTGTCGCTGTCCCTCTCATCTGCAGCCCCCCACCCCGCCCAGCCTGGGCTGTGCTCAGACCAGCGGCCTCTGCTGTCACTGTCCCTCATCCGCAGACGCCCATGCCCAGCCCCAGCCCCGTGCAGTTTTGCCGTTCAGACAGCTGAACTCACACAGGAGAGGAGGAAGGCTTTTGAACGGCTGCCCTTCTCGGGTGCCATGGCCCTGTCTCAGTTAGTAAGGTGGCAGTGTCTGCAGGTGGCCCCTGAGCTAACAGCTGTGGTGGGAACTCAAGCCTCCATGCAAGCACACCTGGCTATGAAACGGCCACTTGCTGCAGAGTGGGTGGGGCTGGCCGGGAACGGCCGGACACGTAGCCCTGGCTCCCAGCCTGGCTTCCTCCGCACTGGCCTGCACCCGAGCGTCACTATGAAAGGCCTCCTCCACGTGCTGTGGGTGCAGCCTGCCGTCCCAGGGAAAGTGATCTGCCACGGCTGCCCTTCCCCGCCTACTGCCAAGGGCTGCGTTGCCGTGGGAGACACCTGCTTGGTTCAGTTTGGTCTTCTTGCTCTTCGGAGAACACAGAGCAGGTCAGCTCTGACAACAGCTGCACAGTCCCGCCTCCCCCGCAGCCACACCATAGCTGAGAGCTCTCCAGGGCCTCCCGCCTGGTGCTCTGCTGCCGGCTGGGACATGCTGAGCACCCTGGGCCCCTCAGTCCTTCACCCAGAGAGTGGCCATTGGTGGGGGGAGTAAGACACTGGGAGAGAGCTGTCCCCCAACCTCCAGGGTCACCTTCCAGGGGTTCCTCACCCATCTGGCTGGGTGAACTTCAAGGCCCTGCACAAAGGAACTCCCTGTACAGTAGACTGGTGGGTAACTACCGGGGAAATGGCTGGTCCTGATAAACGGCCCCATCTGACATCAAGTCCAGAGGAGAGCTAAGCAGCTCTAAGGCATTGCTCCTGCCAGCCTGGGAGAAAAGGCAGGGGCTGGGTGGGTGGACGGAGGCCGTGAGCAAGCAGTGGCATTGCGGCCCATCCCCAGCCTGTCATCTGTTCTCTGG